AAACATGTCAGAAAAGAGGTGCCGCTGATTACTGTACTTCCTCACATGTCATTTATATCTTGTAATTCCAGCACATTTGCTGGTTGTCAACAAAAAACAATAAATAAATTTTTTATCGCGCAAATAAATTTTTTATCGCCAAAAAATATTTCCGTTTAAATAGTAATATATTGCAAATGTAAGTATTTCAATTAAAATAAATAAATTGTAAACATATTCACGTTAGGCACCGATAGATTGTTTCCGACTCATTCTTGTAGTTTTTATTGTAAACATTACATTGTTCCGATGTTACTTTATGATATGTAAAAATTGTGATGATTTTTATGCAATTTTATGGAGACATCTGCCTTGTTATCTGGATGAATGAATTTAAAATACTATTCTTATAATGTATACAATTAAAGATGGTCTATCCGCAAAAAAATATATATATATTACAAATGGAAAAAATCCTTATAAGATTTTTAAATTTGTAATTTAATATTATTTAATGTGATTACTAAAAGCGATTAAATTACATTTTGTTTGATAAATAATTTTACAATAAATTGAAAAACTATGCGATACGTCATTTTTATTTAAAAGTTTTAAATAAGATTTCCAGAAAGGGCTGAACAAAATAAAGTGTGAGATGAGCATTAGCAGTCAATTAGGGAGGTGTTCCGATTTTTGACAATTTATTTAACTATGAATATGTTATACTTTTCTCTCATTGCTCAGCCGCTTTTACGCAAGGAGTGCCCAATTTGTTTCATTGGTAGTCAAAATCCTACAAATAGAAAAAAAAAGAGAGAAGAAAAAAAAACAAAAAAAAATCTATCAACTCGTTCCTGAGGTAAGCTTTGCACTGCCAGGGAGACCAATGGCTGAAAATATGTTTTTCGGACTGAGTGGGGTCTGAAACGTAAAGATACGTTGGAAACAGAACATAGGAAAGTTGACCCGATCGCAAAACTATCCCTACCTAGTATAGGTAGGAATGTAAAAAAAAAATATAAGTTTTTAAAGATAGTAAAAATATTTACATAATTTAGGGTAAATTGATTGTAATTAGTTCCAGATCTATCGTCAAATCTGAATTGCTAAAGGGAACCTAATCAATTTATGAGACCTTCTGTTGACCACTCATGAAGGGCTGCCAACAATCAAAGTTGGCTTCATGCTAATCCAGAGGACTAACAGCTGATTGTTTATTCAATCAAGGCATCATTTACATAAAACTTTACCAATATGAGCATTGTAATAAATGCAGTTACTAAAACACAACTACGAATCCATAAAATGTATAATATAAATATTACACGAAATGAGAGGTCCAAAAAAGTTGCAGTTCGTAAGCTTTACAGTTCGCCTTTCATTCCTCAACGTAAATAAATTTATATAGAATGAACTAACATTCTATTAGGCATAAATTAGGTGTGATCTGGATTAAAAGACAAACTTTGAGACGGAGCAGCTTTACTATAAAACAATGGTGGATCTGAATGTTCTGAGGAAGATAGGGGCACTTGAAAAACAGGATATATATATATATATATATATATATATATATAGACATAGACAGATAGACAGATATATAGAAAAAAAACTTTATTCTGGGACAATGTCCCTTTAAAATAATAATATTGTACATAAGAATAGAATACTACTGGCCTAAAAGTTTAAAATGATAAATACAATTTAAAAAAATAAATTAACAAAAAAAGAAAATCTTAAGTGAACAAGCTGAATATTAAACATATAAAAGTATGTACAAAACACTTAAAACTATGAACAAAACACTTAAACTACAAACAAAAAATTTAAAACTATATATAATCGTAAAACAGCATAAATATATACTTTAAGAAATGAAGAGTAAAAAATAGACGAAATAGAATAAATTATTTTAATGAAAAAACTTTAACTATATAAAAAACAGTTAGTGATGACTAAATATAAAAAAAAAAAAATGATATATTCAGTGCCGTTGGGAGTAGGAAATACACGTATTATCCCTAACAAAGAACAGTAATATCGGATGATTATATGATTCCTAGACAATAAATAAATAATGTCAATAGTTGGCAGGTACCTGACTGTTTTGGGAACAGGAATTGGAATAGGAGGTTTTTGAATGTGGATACGCAGGAGGCATGCCGAATTTTGATAGGGAGGGAATTCCAGAAGTTGATAGAGCGGGCTACAAAGGAGTTTTGGAATGAGGCAGATCTATAAGAAGGGATGCATAGGTCAGAAGGTCGAGATCTTTTAGTTGGGGAATGCATTGACTTAAATTGGAGAAGATTGTAGGCATAAGAAGGACGATAATTGTTATATAGATATAAATACATACATATATACATATAAATACATACATATATACATAAAAATAAATAAATTTATATATATATATATATATATATATATATATATATATATATATATATATATATATATATATACACGCATATATTGAAAAGAAATGTATATATTTATTTTTATAACCTATATATATGTTCTCTCCACATCCGGAAATAGTCTTTTGTTCCTCCTCATTTTATAAAAAAAAAACTTTGACACAGTTTTATTACAAATATATAAATCACTTATGTCATAATCAAATATTTTTGATAATAACCACTGTTTCATTATAATTTTTGGGACAAAAATTATTTTATGACGAAAAAAAACACGTAAAAAACCCAAAAACATATGAACTTTACCATATTTATATAGTCATCAACTTATTAAATAGTTATTCTTATTCTTAAGAACAGGAAGTGACGGGATCAGAGGATGTTATTGTATGACGAAGCCATTTTCCGATCCATAGGCTGATACTGAGTAATTAAAAAATACCTTATCTAGGATTTATCAGTGCTGATATTAATCGATATCTGTGGCCAACGTTCCCTTCGTGTAGTTTGGGGCAGTGGGTGAGGGAGGGGGGAGCAGTCAATTCAATTTGATAGCTGTTGGTGAATTAGGACGTCCCCGGTAGGGAGGGACGGCTGGGCATAAAACCTCCCCTAAATCTAACCAGGTAGGGGATAGATTCAACTTAATTGGCATTTAATAACTCCTGTAGCTCTGCTTTAGGAGGGATCATTGCTTTAATTCATACGAGGTCCTGCTGGAACATGTATGGAATCTACAATCGCTGGGACCATGATATGCTTATGGTGCTGCATTTATTTATATATAAAATATGCTGAGAAAATCAGTATGACAATTAAAAGTGAAATTATACAAGGTCGCAGTTCTTAATTGCCAAACTCTAGGGGCTGATTCAGGGCTGAATTTCCTACAAAAAAGTTTATTAGATTCATTGGCCAATTTTTTATGTTCACGTTTTTTTATTGAATAAGAAGGAATTCCTCAAAAATTGTTCAAGATAATAAAAGTACACCATCATAAAGTATAAATAATTTTATTAGAGAAAAAAGTGTTCACATTTACTAAGCTGCTGTACTACTACAGTCACAGTACTCATGCACGAGCATAATATCGCTCTACAGCGACCTCCTGAAAGTCACTTTTATCATAACTAAATTCTCAGAAAGCCATCATAAAGTAGAGATGTTCTTTTTTTAGAGAAAACAGTGATTAAATTAAAGATGTTCTCTTGATGTTAGATAAGAATATCGAACAAAGATCATATTAATAAACATTTCTGCTAACATAAATATTGATCTTCACTATTCTCCAGCAATAATACCTTCTCTTTCAATGTACTATGTGTAGTTTGACTTTCCTATCTTTCCACCTTTATTCTATACCAGCAATAATATTAAACGATTATCTGACACCATAACATACGTTAAAAACCTATAGATTAACATTCTTTTCTATTAAAAATAAATAATTTGGTAATTTAATACAGGAGGAGCCCACACGTCAAAATGAAACGACAGGCCTTAAACAAGCTACTGAAAATACTGTACTCACTCTTTTCTAAATTGAAATGGAAAGTTCGACCAAAACTAAATACATACACTTACCTACTCAAACCCATCTGGACATACGCCTCTCAGATTCACGGCTCGGCAAAAAAGACGCACTTACAAAAACTACAGTCATTTCAATCCAAAATTTTACGGCTTATAAGAGGAGCTCCCTGGTACGTCAACAACTCACACTTTGTTATAATAATTCACTTTTTTTTTCTCCGACAAATAATTTGATAAAATAATGACTATCATAGAACTTCATAAATATTTTGATAAGATAGAAATTACTTCAGAACTCCAGAAAAGAAAAAAAGGTCATTCTAAAACTTCAACTTAGGAATTGCCATTGTTTGTCTTAATTCAGTTGACAGTTGTTAAAAACTTTTGATGGAGCGTTCGCCCGTGAGACCAGCAATAGGAAAATCAGGAGAAAAATTAGAAAAAAACAAAACATGATGGCCTATTTGAATGAAGTTTTTTAGATTACAAAACTCATAGTGCTTGGGAAAAAATAGCTATTTCCTATTATTGTAGGGTTAAAATTCATAAGTAGTTAAAAATGTCGCAAACGTTTTAAATTAAACGTCATCACTCAAAACAAATATTAATTTTATATTTTTTCTTGTTTAATTCTAGACTTGTTGAATAATTATTTCAATAATTTTTTTTAAAAATTCCTCAAATATATGTTTTTTTTTTGTCTTCATATTTTCATCCACACCTTTCATGAGCTTGACAATAAGCAGATGTGCTGTATCTAATACGGAAAATTGACATTTTAGGCATGCAGAAAAAAAAAATAGTACCCATCTTCCTGTTCTTGATTTATTTCCTTAATTCAATAAAGGAGATCTCTCATCCAGCTCCTCTTTAGTCGTCTCCTGATAGGCACGTCAGCTGTGGCCAAGTCGTTAATAAGTCCGTTGTCATGTCCGTGTAGTTTAAGATGAAATCTGGAGTAGAGATCGCGTATGTGTTGGTCAATAGTTGGTTGTCGTAAGTCGTTATGTAAAGTTTGGTTGTTTACGTACCAAGGATCTCCTGTTATAAGTCGTAACATTTTGGATTGAAATGTCTGTAGTTTTTGTAAGTGTGTTTTTTTTGCAGAACCGTAATTATATTTTAAAAAAAATAATATAATACAAAAATCGTTTTTACGAAACGAAGGTTTTAGTATGAACGGACTAATAATGTCACTACTGAAAACTTAGCAGTAATCGAATAATCACTGAAATAACAATATTTCATTCAGTAGTTTATTTAGGAATATAAACTGACTTTAAATTTTAGTTCTCATTATTCCTGATTTTTTACTAAATATCAATAATTGAAATTAATTAGTTTTGACATAGTAGACTTCAGGATCATTTGTGTTTGAATCTTTCAGAATGTAATTGAGTCTCAAACTTGGTATCTAGATTTTGATATGATGATGATTGGTATCTAGACTGTAGATATAAAAAAAAGAAGAGAAAAAGACAGTGATAAGACTAGCAAACCTATGTTTTTTTTTGTTTTGTTTTTCCAATAGGAGATGCAGCTGTACTGGTAAGCCATAAATATTTGTAGCTAGTTAGTGGACTGCAATAGAAGGAAAAATATGATCGTGTTGAGTAGCAACGTGATGGGGCTGTAGCCAATACAATCTTGTTCGAGAGTGCAGCACGGTCGACAATAAGCAGTGACCTAGCTAACTGCGTCCTGCCCTTAAAACCTATCTTTTTATCCGGTTATCTTTTATCAATTTTTAATTTCGTTCACATCTTATTTTCTTTTTATCTCAATGACTAGATATCATTTTCGGTAAATCAATTCCCAGTATAAACACACTTTTTGAATAATGACATAATTGTAATAACGCTATTGCCCGTGAAGATAAATACAATTTATGTTGTACCAAGTGCAAAGTTATTTATCACGGCAAGTGTTTTAATCTCACAGACAAAGAGATAGAAGCTCAAAGAAGCACAAAAAAAAACATGGATGTGCCTAAATTGCGATCAAACTAAGAAACTAAATTTAAACAATGAACCGCCTGTATCAGAAATATTAGCAGCAGTTAATAGACTGGATAGTCATGTTAGTGAGGAAATAAGGGATATGAAGACAGCCCTCGATAAATATGGAGACCTCAGCTTTGAACTGAATGAGAGGTTATCTAAATTAGAAAAACATCTCGAGGGCCAAGCCAAACATTTTGAGGAGATCATTTTGGAAAATAAAGCCCTCAAAGCTCGAGTAGGCGATTTAGAGATCCGCCTGAACAGAACAGGGTCAATTATCTAGATCGCTGGAGATCCGTGGGATCCCAGTGCGAGCAGGCGAGACGCCCGCGGCTCTGGTGACCAGTATAGCCGCGGGGCTGGGCATCAAGCTCGGAGTGGAGGATTTGGATGTCGTGCAGCGCCGCAGAAGCAAGAAGGATGACCCGCGACCGCCGCCGGTAATAGCACATTTCGTCAGGCAGTCAGTGAGGGACGACCTGATAGCGAAAAGGAAAGTGAAGAGGGATTTCTCGACGCGTGATATCGGGTGGCAGGAAAACGACTGCCACCGAATTTATCTCGGCGAGGAGATGACCCCAACAAACAGGCACCTCTACTGGCTAGCCCGGCAGAAGAGAGCTGCCGGGAAGATAAGATACGTATGGTTCTCTGCCGGCATTGTGCGTTGCCGAAAAGAAGACGGCCATCAAGTAATCTTGATTAATCAGGCATCGGATCTGGAAGTTTTCGCCTGACTGCACAGGTTTCATCTCTTCTTCTCGTTCTTCAAAGTATTTTTTGTCTTCATTGGTGCCCAAATAACATTGAAGATTTTGGTTAAAATTTCTCACAGCTCCAGTTTACTAATTTGTTTATTTTCTTACTCTTATTTCTCTCTTATTTTTTCATTATTCACTTTTATTTTGCTTATCAGTACTTTTCATAATTTTTTTTCAGAATATGATATATGCCTCATTTCCTCTATGCTAATTTCTGACTGTTTCCCATCAAATCCTCCCCATGTCTAGCATCCTAACCACCTGCCACGTTAACTCGCAATCCCTTCCCGCCCATTATGATGAATTCCTGCAGTACTTTTCTCAAAACTTTTTTCACATCATCGCAATCTCAGAAACCTGGCTCAAACCCTATATTCCGTCCTCATCTGTCTCCTTACCTAATTACACCCTCATCCGCCACGACCGGGTCAGCCGGACTGGTGGTGGGGTGGCCATATTTGTCCATGATAGCCTGAAGTCCCGAATCCTTGATTACTCCCCACCCTCCGAACATCCACAAGTGGAGTACCTTCTAGTAGAAATTACCTGTAATAATTCACCTCTCCTTTACATAGTGATCTACCGTCCTCCCCTTGTTCCATTTGATCCGTCCTTAGAATCAACCCTACTCAACTTTGTTCCCCTCTATCCTAGAATAATCATCGCCGGTGACCTCAATACCAATTTCCTTTCTAATTCCAAAGACAAAACCTATCTAGAAAACCTATTTTTTTCCCTCCATCTCTTTATTGTTCCTTTTTATCCTACTCACCACACCCACAAGGCCGACACTTGGTTAGATTTCTTCATTATAGACTCCGAAATAAATCTCCTCTCCTCTTCTCAACTGCCAGTATCCTTCTTATCGTCTCACGACATGATCCAAATAACATATAATATCCAAACCCCTCTGATTCATCCGAGAACCTTCACTTTCCGTCAGATAGACACTCTCACCCGTGAAAAAATACTACCTGACCTTGAAACCTTAGACTTGAACGAAATATATTCCTGCTCCTCCATCGACTCCATGGTTGAGATCCTGACTTCCAATCTCCTCAATATCCTTAACACCCATGCTCCCATAAAAACCTCAACCTTTCGCCGTCGGCCTGCACCTTGGATGTGTCAAGAAATCAAGGATCTGCAGAAGAGGCGTGATGCTGCCCGCAGACGCTTTAGACGTACTAGGCTTACAGATGACTATCAAGCGTTTAGGGTGCTCCGCAATTTGACACAAACAAGAATTCGGCGAGCTAAAGCTTCCTACTTCCATGAAGCCCTGTCATCTGCCCCAGATCCCAAATCTAAATGGCTAATCCTTCGCAAACTTTCCCTCTGTGAACCTTCTAGATCCCCTTCCTCACTGTTCTTTTCCGTTTCACCTGACGATTTAAATTCACATTTTATTTCTGCCTCCTCTACCTCTTCTCTTCCCTCCTCTTCCAACTATGCTCCTGAGTCATCATTTAATGATGATGACTTTTATTTCTCCTACATTTCCCCGACTGACTTACTAACCGCAGTAATGAAATCCCACACCAATTCCATAGGACCAGATGGCATTCCTGTCAAATTGATAAAATTATGTCTCCCCGAAATCCTCCCAGTTCTCCTTTTCATTTACAATTTCTCCCTACAGAACTCAATATTCCCTTCCTCTTGGAAAAAAGCCATTGTACTCCCTTTAAATAAAAAGCCTAATCCATCCTCTCCCGAAGACTTTCGCCCAATCTCAATTCTTTCCAATCTCTCAAAACCCCTAGAAAGATTGGTGCAATCCCAAGTTTCCAATTTCCTAGAAAAGTCTAACCAACTCGATCCTCTCCAATCTGGTTTCCGTCCCGGCTACTCCACACAATCCGCCTTAATCAAAATTACTAATGATGTTCAGACTGCAATAGATAATAAACAACTAACTGTCCTTATACTTCTTGACTTCTCTAAAGCCTTTGATTCCATTAACCATCCCATCCTTTTCAACAAACTAAAATCACTCTCCTTCTCCAATAGCTCCATCTCTTGGTTCCAATCTTTCCTATCACAACGCACCCAAGCAGTCTCCATTCCTAATCAACCACTATCTGCCTACCTGCCTTTATCCTCTGGAGTCGCCCAAGGATCTAGCATATCTCCTCTCCTTTTTAGTTCCTATATCAATGACCTCCATGACTCAATTCTCCATTGTTCCCACCACCTTTATGCAGACGATTCTCAAATATACCTATCCTTTTCTCCCCCTGAGCTATTGGTAGCATTTACTAAGATCCAAGCAGACCTAGATCGAATCTGTGCCTGGGCAAAATTAAACGGATTAAGGTTAAATGCTTCAAAAACTCAGGCCATTGTCATTGGTTCCAAGCCCCTCCTTAGATCCTATACGGACTTTCCCATACTAAACCTTGGTGACCAGCCAATCTCCTTCTACTCCTCTGTAAAAAATTTAGGACTATTTATTGATCAAACCCTCTCCTGGAGTCACCATATTTCTCACATCTCCCGACGGACAGTCTCTACCCTCAAACTATTCCATTGCTTCCGCCATCTCCTACCTCAACATACGCGCAGACTCCTCGTTTCCTCTCTCATCTTCCCCCACTTTGACTACTGCTGTGTGGTGTATGATGGACTCTCGGTGGAGCTCCGCGACAGACTGAAAAGAATAATGAACAGTTGCGTGAGATTTGTAATTGGTGCCCCGAGATACTACCATGTCTCTCACCATTACACTGAGTTAGAGTGGCTCTTCCCCTCCATTCGAAGACAATATTTCCTAGGTACATTCCTCTATCATATCATCAACAATCATCGTCCTTCCTACGCCTACAACCTTCTCCAATTCAAGTCCTCAGTCCACTCCCTCTCCACAAGATCTCGACCTTCCGACCTTTACATTCCTTCTCACAGATCTGCCTCGTTCCAAAACTCCTTTATTGCACGTTCTGTTAGTTTCTGGAATTCCCTTCCAATCAAAATTCGACATTCTTCATCCTTATCTACATTCAAAACCCTCCTATTCCAATTCCTGTCCCAAAAACAGTCAGGCACCAGCTAATCTTTTATGTAAAATTACACATTATATATAAGACCATATTCACATATAGCTCATGACCTGAATACTTATTATAGATTCGACTTTCTTTTTCTCTTTTTTTTTTTTTTTTTTCTGTTTCAACAGAAACAGATTTTACTGTTAAGAAGAATATACATTTATTTTTTCTGTATTTTTTATTTTTTCTAAAAGGGTTTATTTATGTTTTAACATCGTAAATAGTTTTAAGTATCTTAGTATGGTTTCAAGAGTTTTTTATATAGATTTTTATATTTTATTTTGTATATAGTATGTATAACCAATATTTTTTTTCTTTTCTTTTCTTTAATGACCTATCATTATCTTAATTTATTATGTTTGTTTTTATCTGGCCAGATGTAAAATTTTAATTTCTGTACTTTTTTGTTATTCTGAAGGGACTTCGTCCCAGAATAAAATTATTTTTCTAT